CATCACTTATTAGACGATCCATGCAATGATATAATCCCAACTTTATTTCAGGGTTTGTAGACTTGTTCTCTGCATATTGATACTGAGGGTTTAGGTAGTAGCCAGCGGCATGCAAGTGTCGGTGAAGCTGTAGTTCCCACCTATCATCAATAATATTCCAAATTTCCCTAAAGCTTCCCTCACTGCCTCCTAAGTTGGAGGCAATCATCTCTTTGGCTTCATCCATAGCATTGTAGATGAAACCCATTGCAGGCTTCTTCTCAGCATCCACCATCCTTAAAACATGAACCAAAGGTCTAGTGGTTGTAATGGCATATAAGACACTTTGCCAAAATCTGTCATTTAAAACAATCTTTCTAATCTCTTTTCCCTCAGCCTTCTTCGCCCAAGCACAACTCAACCACTGTGTAGATGTGAACATAGCCTCTAAAGGTTGTCTGGCATCCAGCATGCTCTCTAAGGTCAAGTATGCGGTGGCAAATCTTGTTGCGGCTGGCCTTAGAATTTCTTTCTTCGAAAACTTTCTCATAAGAGCTAGAATCCAAGAGTGGTTGTAAATAAACTTGGTTATTTTTTTGGCTTTAGTGAGTGCATTTTTATGTTGAGGTAGATCCCCAAGCTTCTCAAGAATCAGATCTATGCAATGTGCAGCACATGGAGTCCAATACAAATGTTTCCTCTTCTCCATAAGTTTATTACCTGCAGCCTTATAAGAACTTGCATTATCTGTCACAATTTGTGCTAGGCCCCGTGGTTTTTCCCCCTTTTTCAGGAGTTTTCCACGTAAAAATCTTGGTGTCTCAAAAATGCTAGACCCTCTCTCTTGTCTGATTGCGTGCCAAATTTTCGTACAACGCCAATACGATAAACTTTATATTTCTCTACCGCCGCGAATACTCCTGGACGCAACAAAGTTGTATAGAGATATATTCTTAAAGAGATTGAGTGATTCAACAACTTATAGATAATACAAATACCAATGAGTAAAATTTACAAATTAGCTTACTATCAAAATTTGGAATTCATGGGTGAGCATCTTCGAGGTTATCTTGACCCAGTACCAAAAAGGTTAGGTGGCACAAATTAAGGTTGATTTTTGAGTGAGTTAGGTTACTCCTTATGAAGAGTATTGAAATGAAGGGAACATCTTTCCTAACCTAACAGAGCCACGATGATTCAAAATCAAAGCTAATCAATAACTTCTAATTATAGTGGACTTGTTTAGAAGATTGGTTATCTCATTAATTTTTCAATGTAACAGAGAGAGAAATTGAGAAAGTTCTAAAGGAAGTGCATAGGTGAGTATAGTGCCACTTAAGAAAAAGGAATTTATCCTTTCAATCCTCAAATTAAACAAGGGTGTTTAGCCATGTGTCAAGATTATGAAGTGATGATAACTTGGAAAAAAATTTACCTAAATGATTGTTAATAAAATAATATTTTTCATGTTTTTATGTCCAAAGAGTCCACTTTAAATTAAACTAATAATAAAATACTAACTCAAGGAACTTACCCCCTCCCATTATACGTTCAAGTAATCAAACATTATCGAGGCATGGGAAAAATTTTCTTACAAATTCAAACAGATTGGGAAACTCGCTTATTGATGTGATCCAAAGTAGAATGATAATGTTATATATTAGGTTTTTCCTTAACCTACTTACTTTGAAGTTAGCCAAATTTGAACCCCTAAAAAGTGATGAGATTCATTAAAAAAAAAATCCAAGTTACTTGGATATATAGGTAAAAATAAAAAAAGTTAACTAACTTGGTCGAAGTTACAATCTAGTTAAGTCAAAGGGAAATAATAGTACTCCCTATAGGCAAGCTAAATGCTCCATTAGCCAACCAAAAGAAGCATATTTTATGCTTCGAGATGTCACCTCCTTATCTAAGCTGAGTCAAACTAGTAAGTTTAAAAATTCTAACAACTTATAAAGACCATCACTCTATGATCTTGCTAGATCCTAAGGAAAGATGAGAAACTATAAGAAAAATTACACTTAATCATTAATTTAACTTGTCATATATTTCCCTCTACGTTTTAAGAAACCATGTGGGAAGCTGAGTGAGAAGCAGCTAAAAACTAGCACTTGCAAGAGTCAAACCTTTAAAGGTTGGTCCACCCATTATGGAAGATCGCTTTGAGTGGCACATGAGCCCCTTCTAACTAGTGAGTCTAAATAGCTACCCACAAGAAGATGAATTATTTAGCAAAAAGCAAGGCCCGTCCAAGGCAATGATGAGCTAAGAAAGTTTCTTCCCTGAAAGCTAGGTGACTTCCCCACCGCCTTTTGTGATAAGATTTACATTGGTAGCACACTATTTCCTTCTACTTAGTAAGTCAAAGTAGTTACTTGCAAAGGCCATAGTATAGTTAATGGAGTGGCTCATCTAAGTTGATATCATGTATGTGTTATTTAGTCCCCTTTCTCATTGATTACATTGCGTCTTCAAGAGGGTGTTTTTATTTAATAACTCATCCTATAAAGCAACCTATTTCTTTGATAAGTTAGCTTTCAAGGTTTGACATCCTTCTTAAAACTCTATTAAAGTGTGAAATCTTCTTTGAGGCAAGCCTTTACTTCTAGGTGTCCTTTTATATAAACTATCAAGTTTCCTATTGACCTTCCTATATGATTATGAGCCAATGTGTATGTACTGTAATAGTTAATTTAGTGGTAAGAATCCATGGTGGCAATGGCAAAGCTAAGTGATAAAGATAGCAATTAACTCCTTATCTACTTTGGTTGAGTAAACCAATGACCCACGTTGAATGTTTTTCTTCTGGGATGGATGTGTAAAAACCTTAAAATATGAAAAGTATTTTGAAAAATCTACTAGTAGTAAGTAGTAAGTGGCATTTACTCTGTATCTATTTTCAATTATTTAAGTCTAATATATTTTCTACATTTAAACATGATAAGAAGCCTATATATCTCGTTGAAGTGAACTTTCACTATATAACTTTTGGTATGTAATAGATGTCGTCAATATGAGCATTTTGATTAAAATATTTTGGAATTTCACTGAGTAAAATGTTAATTATGAATTTTTGAAGATATTACATATTTTGTAGAATTTTTTATATTTTTTATGTTATTGCATTTATAGTTGAAATGATACTATTGCTACTTAATGAATGAGACATTTACATTCAAACAAGGAAGTTGGCTATTAATAATGTAATTAATATGTGTTGGCTTTTAACATTTGCAAGAGATTGCACCCTGGTGTATGCTTTTTGTTGATGATATTCTTCTTGTTGATAAGACTAAAGAGGGAGTTGAAGGTAAACTTGAATTATGGAGATCAATCTTAGAGTCTATATGATTTCGTTTGAGTATATCTAAAATTGAATATATGGAGTGTAATTTTAGTAATAATTAATAGATCTAGTGGGGGTATTATAATCACTTTGGGTGATCAAGTCATTAATAAGAGTACACATTTTAGATATCTTGGGTCTATTGTTTAGAATGATGGTGAAATAGATGGAGATTTTATTAGTTGAATTCAAGTTGGATGGTTGAAGTGGAGGAATGCATAGGGCTTGTTGTGTGATAGAAAAGTCCCTCTCCAACTTAAGGAAAAAATTCGATAAGACGGTAGTGAGACCTGCAATGCTTTATGGTGCAGATTGAATTGGTCATTAAAAGAGAAGCATGCATAATAGTAAGTTAAGTGTTGCAGAGATGAGGATGCTCATGTGGATGAGTGGCTTTGCTCTTAGAGACAGGATACAAAATGAGCATATACGTAAAAAATGTTGGAGTAGCTCCAGCGAAAGATAATATTAGATAGAGTCGTTTTAGATGGTTTGGTCACATAAAACGATGGCCTTCCGTTGACCCGGTTAGGAAAGTTGATGTATTAGGTTTGACTTATGTTTAAAAAAATATTATATAAAAAAATTTTTACTTTTGTTTGTAGAGGCAGACCTAAAAATACATGATTAGAAATAACCTTTCTTTATTAGATTTACATGAGAATTTGACTTTTATTATGACACGATGGAGAAAAATGATTCATGTAGCCCACCCCACATAGTGGGATAAATGCTTTTTGTTGCTAATGTTGTTGTTCAAATTTCAATTGATTATAAATTTTTTATTCATTTAAAGGATTATAATAAGTATAAAAAATTCAAAAAATTTATTATTTTAGTTTTTAATTATTTTCATAACTTAATTTGAAATAATGAAATTATTTTTTAAAAAAATAATTTAAAAACTTTAGTTATTTTTGAACTTTTCAAAATAATGAAATTATTTTTGAAAACAAACCACATTATAAATATTTTTACCATCATTAAATTTTGATTGTTTCAAAATATTATAAAACAAGGAAATTTAAAAAATATTTGTTTTATTATTTTTTAATCTCCTTGATGTTATGAACCAACAAAGTTAAATTGTTTGATCATATTTGAGGACAATATCAACACTAACAATTATGAAAGATTTATCGGACTATTTTAAAGCCATTAAAAAATGAAGATAATAGTATATTTTCATATGTTGATATATTAGTGTTTTCATTATATTCTACGTAAAGAACTCATGATACAAACTCTTATTATATTCTTAATGAGCCAAAGATGTTGAAATATTTATGAATGTAAACCAATATATGTATTAAAAAACGTGTGTGTCATATAATACTTCTTGTTGGCATTCTAGTTTAGAATAGCTTTATTATTATTTTCTAAAACAAACTATATGAAATGAAGCCAAAATATACTATGTTTTTCAAATATGCTAATAGTTAAAGAAGCTTTCTCCATATATTTTTACATTGAAAAAGTACATTAGACAATTTTAGTAGTAGAAAATGTGGAAACACCTAGTTTCCAATATAACTAGCTATATTGTTACAAGTTATTATCAAAAAGGACCCTATTAATTAAGAATTTATGAAGAAAAAGTCGTTGAGATTTTCTTTTCTTTTTAAAGGCATCCTGTTTTCTATCTGAGATTTATCTCCGCAAAGCCAACAAGATGGATAAAGCTTCCTCATCACCGGCTCCTTCCACCAGTGAAATTACCGGCGGCCACACAATCGACATAAGCCAATATTTAAATAAAGGCACCGTAATTAGCTCCATCGATGAAGTCGTTGAACGCTACATGACCGCGGCCGCCGGCAACCTCCTCTTCCCCTTTTTGGCCTGCCTCACCTTGATATTTGACTCCCAACAGGCCTTCATCAATGTCTTCTCTGATAAACCACCGCCGTGGCACTGTACCTCCTCTACTTGCGATTTCAGCAGACCTTGTAACCTCCCATCCAACTCCTCCTGGTCCTACTCCCAACCCCGCAAAATCTCCACCATTTCTGACTTCTCCCTCGAGTGCTCGTCGCCGATTCGTTTCGCCCTTCCTGGCTCTTCCTTCTACGTTGGATGTCTTGCCGGCGGCCTCTCCCTTGGCACCCTCGCCGACTCCCGCCTCGGCCGCAAAAAAACCCTCGTTCTATCCACTTTAATCATGTCTATAGCTGCCGCCCTTACTACATTCTCTCCCAACCTAGCCGTGCCAACGTCGGAACCTCTGCTTACGTCCTTTCCACCGAACTCGTCTCCCGGCGCCAGCGCAAGCACGTCAACATTATCACCTTTATTTTTTCCACTACAGGTTTCCTCTCCCTTCCCGCCATTGCCTTCTTAAACAAAGCAAACTCCTGGCGACTACTCTATGTCTACACCTCAATCCCCTCACTTTTTTATTGCATTTTTCTCCATTTCTTCATGAAAGAATCTCCTCGTTGGCTTCTTTTGAAAGACAAGAGAAAAGAAGCCATTTAAACACTAAAAAAGCTCTCATCTTTAGAAAAAACAGAGAGCTTCTCAGACTTGGCATTGACTTACTCTGAAAAAACTAAGCCAGGAGGTTTATACTCTGTGGCAAGGATATTATGGGAGAAGCCATGGGCATTGCAGCGATTAGTAGTGATTTTGATTGGGAGCTTTGGCATCGGATTAATGTACCACGGAATGCTGCTCAATCTCTGGAACCTCAACGCCAACCTCTATATAAGTGCGGCGCTGAATGCGGTGGCTGAGCTTCCGTCGGCGCTTATTATCTTCTTCAGCTCTAATGTGATTAGCCGCCGCAGAACTTTGGTGCAGTTAACGATTGTGAGCGGTGGATGTAGCCTTGCCTGTGCGGCCATGGGCGGGTGGTCGGCGGTGGTATTCGAGTTGGTGGCATTCTTTGGGGCTTGTACAGCGTTATACATTGAGAGAATTTATGCTGTGGAACTGTTTCCAACATATGTAAGGAACTCGGCCATGGCGTTGCAGAGGCAAGCAGTGGTGCTCGGCGGGGTGGCAGCGCCAGCGATGGTGGCGCTGGGGAGGAGAGGAAAAGTTCTTTCTTTTGGGATGTTTGGGATAGTTATCATTTTTTGTGGGTTATTTATTATGTTCTTGCCAGAAACAAGGGGGCGCGCAATCAGCGATACAATGGAGGAGGAGGAGAGCAAGATGATGGAGGGTAAAATTATCAATAACTAATCACTATAATCACCATTTCTTCTATTATACTAAATAAAAAAAGGGTTATTGACACTGTACAAGAGTCGTGGACAACTCGTTGATGATCCGAGGCCGAGCAGGATCCCAAAAATTCTTTGGAAAAAGAATTCATCATTTAGAAATCAATCTCAAAATACATGAATATAATTACTCAACTCTTATTCATCTCAAAAAATCTCCCTTATTACAGGATTGGTTATGTATTTATAGACAAATGTAGCAACATATTAGACTACACCCAGTAGAAGAAAGCTCTAATCTTATACAATCATACTAACAATTAAATGGAATTAAACTAGTCTGAAGTTTAACAAGATTAATCAGCTTAGCTCCGGCATCGTGATTTAAATGCATATCACATAAAACTTCTATATTTAGAATATCACACACAAAATCTAACTTTAATTTCCTTATATTACACAAAAAAAAGCCTCAACATCTCAATAATAACATCTCAATGAAGCTATGGGAGAGAAAACTAGGAGTTAGAATGTGGTGATGGAGTGATAATTTTCATTTTTCACTTCAAAATACAGTAATATTCATCTCAAATAATAATTTATCTCCAACTAAATTCCATTTCTAACACCGAAATATATATATATATATATATATATAGGCCAAGGAGAGTTGTTGAGCTTCTTGTTTAGTCAAGCATAAATTATTTACAAATGATTGGCTTTTTCTACCACCCTACATAGAACCCAAATTACATAAAGTTTAATGCTTGTGTTACTATAATTATTTTAGTTTTAATATTTAAAATATTTTATATTAAAAAAAAAGAAAACTAACAATTTTATTTATGGGATATTAAAATTTATTTATATTTAATTAGTATGTCAAGAATAATTATCTAAATATTATATTTAAATATTGAATATAATTTTTATAATAAAGCGCATATATTATAATTTTCACATCATATCATAGTTGAACCTTCCATTGCCCAAATCCACTGCTATGACTCAAAACTATGTGCCCCGTTCAATAAGATCTATGCTACATTTTTATCCAATTAGTAAAAAAAGAAGATCACCCACAAAACCAAGCACCAATGTGATATCCCAATCTTAAGACACATTTACCATATGAACATGAAATGCGAAAAATTAGAAGGTCTAATTGTTAGGTTTCACAAAGGGTTTGAGTTCTTCTAAACGTGAAAACATAAACCTTTAATGATGGCTATTATATTCATCATCCATATGTTGAAATATATTGATATAGATCATACACTACAGGAAAATCGCTCATTACCAGCGACTTTCCGACGGCTTTCCAACATATTTCTAGCATAATATGTCCGACTAAATTTTATTTTCCGGCGGCATTATTCAGACGGAAATTGGCCCCCGGTATCGTTTCCTACGCGGTTTTTACTGGCGGAAAAATATCTGCCGAAAAGCTGCCGAAAATCTTAATTTTCATAGGAAATTCGCCAATTTTCGCCGGAAAAATCCGTCGGTAATAAACAATTTTACCGTAGTGCTATATATTATAGTGTATAAGATACATTGTACCTTGGGTATTGAGTTTGCCTAAACCAACTTTATCTTTACCTATTTTTCAAAAATACAATGCTCACATAATTCTATCTTGTCACTTTGTTCTTTTCAAAATCCCTTGATTATGTAAAACATATGAATCCTTTTGATTAATATGTCTAAGAATAAGATGTCAAAGTCTTATGCTATCAATTTCATTTTCATATAATACATCAATAAGTTGCGTTGACATTATTCCTGATAATGACTATAGACCATTATATCTTCTTCCTTTTGTATTGATCATAAAACATAGTATCATCTTTATCTTTGCCCCATTCTTGTATTTATAATTATATATCCAAACTTTCCTAGAGCAATTATCTATGAAAGAGAAAGTATCTTCCTCTTCCATATGTTGGAATAATTATAATTCTTTATATATAAAGAAAGAATAATAATAAAATTACAACACGAGTATAAAAAATTATTAGGACTACTCAGCCTCAGATCAAAAGAATATCGTCAGTCTACATGAGAACTCACCTCAAGCAAGCAACTACAACCTATGAGTTCATCGCAATGAAGCAAGTATGACCTATCAGCGGACATTGGCTTTATTAGCTATTCAAGTGGATGAATTTTTTAAGTTGGCCCATTAGATGACATCTTCAAGGTAACATTTATATTAAACTACTTTTTTGTGGTCAATTCTATAATGCTTAAGCCTGAACACAAACCTATAAACATGGGATCAAGGTTTGAGCTCAATTTATGAAATTTTTAGCACTCATGCTCATCTAAAAGAAATCTCATAGCTTCTCAATCTAAAGTTCTTATTTTTGTCTCTATTTTTTTCTCCACTTTTACTTAGTATTCTCAATATAGTTGGGTGTGATTTATAGACAATTTTAAATTTAACAAAGACACTCACACTTAGTTATAAATGATATAATATATGATATTATTGATTAAAAAAAAAACTTTATTAATAGGGTCACTAATGTCCACTCATATCAACCCACATCTAGCTAGGTGAACCAAGCAAGGGGCTAACCCTTTTAGCTCCATGGACTTCAAGGTTCATTATTTAATTTTAATGATAACAAATAAATGATTTGATATTCTAATATTTTCTAAAGATTACCCGGGCCTGTCGGCCAAGGCTATATACTCGTTGAATACATCAGTGTAGCGCGCGTGCGGCCCAGAACATCTAAGAGCAACACAGACCTGTTATTGCCTCAAACTTCCGTGGCCTAAACGGTCATAGTCCCTCTAAGAAGCTGACCGCGAAGGTTGAACTCCGCATAGCTAGTTAGCAGGGTGAGGTCTCGTTCGTTAACGAAATTAACCAAACAAATCGCTCCACCAACTAAGAACAGCCATGCACCACCACCCATAGAATCAAGAAAGAGCTCTCATTTTGATAATTCAACATATTCACAACTTATACATTGCACCTATCTACTTGATGAAAAAAGTAGCTATTAAATTAACTTTAGACTGATCAAGTCAAGTGCAACAGAGCTTTGGATACATATCTCAAAAAATTAGCTAAAGTCAATTGTGTCAAGTTCATAGAATATTTATTACACATTTTGATAATACTCTCACAAACAAATAATATTCCTTAAAAAAATTAAAATGCATAATTTTTAAAATACATTCATGATTTGATTTTAATTTTATTAAAAAATATATATGATTTTGATTGATATGGACATGGACGGCATAGATTCATAGATTCATTGATACCATTGATTCGGCATTGATTTGACTTGCTTCAATTGATTTATTGATATGAGAGATTAAGATTTATCGTATCGCTTTTCCGATTGATTTGATCGACTCGCTAGACTGGATTTGATTGATTGATTAATTTGACGGATTTATTGATTTTATTGATTTACCATATTGCTTTTCCGATTGATTTTCTCGATTTGATTGATTCGTAGATACCGGCACCGATATTGATATGGATTCTGCGTATTGATTCATAGATATTGGCACTGATAGATGTTGTAATGATTTATAGATATTTCTCTGATATTGGTATAGATGGTATCGATTGATAGAGACCGATATAGACATTGCTATAGATATGATATTGACATATGGATATTATTGATACGACAGATCCTGATAGGTTATTGATTTATCGTAGAATAGATTTCTTTAAGAAGCTGATTGTGTTGATTTCAATTGACCTGATGATTTCATTGTATAGAGGTTGATTTATTGAGTTGATTCGATTGTTCGATGGATTTCCTTGCTGATAAATAATTGACTGGAAGAATTAATGGATAAGATTGCACGATAGATTGATCTGCAAGTAGACGATCTGATATGATTCCTTTATATTGATGTGATTGATGTTATAGATGGATACGCTAAGTAAGACGACTAGATGACCGTATTGATGTTATCGATAGCAATAGATAGAGACTGTAGAGCTTTATTTGAGGTATTGATTTTGAGCTTTATGGATTTCTTTATTGATTCGACAGATGATATAGATTTATATTGATTGAATAGATGATATAGATTCAATGAATTGATTAGACGACTCGGTTGATTGACCTGATAGTATAGATAGTATAGATTGACCTGATAGTATAGATAGTATAGATTGATAGACACTACTACGTTGATTGGACATTGACTGACATTGACTAGGAGTATTTATTGATTTGATTGCTGAGACGTATTGATGTATCAATGTTTTTACTGCTGATTTGATTTATGCTGTATAGATTTGATTTCATTGACGATGGATTTCAACATTGCATAGACTCATTGACCATTGATTGACTTGATTTTATTGACCTGCATATTGATAGCATCGCCGTGCTTTGATTTCAGTTGTAGGCTTTGTGACCTGCTGGGCTTTGTAAGCTCATTATATGTGGTTTAAATTTTCAGGTCCGAGTAAGGCAACTGGAATGGAGTTCGATCAGAATGTCAGACGAATCCTTTCACTATTTGATTCTGGGGCATCACAGGAATGATCATGTCCAATATCCCACTCCTGCTCCCTCGTGCTTTGGAAATGATCAAAAAATGTGAAAACGATCAAAAATGTGGAGGAAGCACTAGGAATGTACGTAGAATGAAATGCTAGAGCGACTAGAGAGTGAGTGTATTGAGAGTTTGGTCATGATGAATTTCTCTCATACTTTGGCCCAAATTTAGGGCTTATTTGGATGGCCCAATCAATCAGGGATATTGCTTGGATGCATGTCAATAATCCCAAGTCGTTAGGATGAAGAGAGAGTGGCTTACATAAGTGAAAATGATGGGGTATTATTTTCAGGTAGAGGTGACCACCTAGGCTAGTTTGGGTTGAACCAGAGATTGGGCTAGGTTGGATCAACATCCAGAAAGCTTCTAGAGTGCACTGAAGAGGTTGGATGAACCTAGGTTCGACTAAGCAAGGTGGTTAGACGGGTTGACCACTAAGAAAGTTTGATCCTTAAGGTGACTAGTTTGACCAGTCATCTGGTCAAGGATTACTTAGGTGGAGCCTAGGTGTTGTCTGGGTGGTGGTGGGATGGTTTGCAAAGAGTTTAGAGGGATGGATTAAATATATAAGTGAAGGAGTTAATGTATGTAAGGTTTGACCACCTATAGTGGTTTGATCAAGTCAATCCCACCATGAGTTTATCCATGAAAGACTTGAGGTTAATACTTTGTCATGGAGTGGTCTTGAGGGTTTGGGATGCTTGCCTTGAATGCATGGTCTAGGTTGACCTTGCTTGGCCTAGTTTGACCAATCATAGGTCTAGTTGACCAAGTCGATCAATTGTTATTTGGGTCAAAGTGACTAGTCAAGTCCCATTCACTAAGGGTGATGTTCAGAGCAATTTAGTGAAATTCAATTGTGATCTGGAGTTTAGAGGTGGGATATAGAATAAATTGGGATCAATTAATTCATTAAACTTTTTTTTAAAAAAAAAATACACAAAGGATTACAATTTATATAAATTTGGGATATAAATAAAGATACCACTTTGTCTTCTAACTAAGATAAAATGCAGCCACCTAGTATAAAGATAAGGGATACATATAGAGAAGAATATGTTGATGTTACTCTAGCTACTCTCTTCCCCTCTCCATCATAAGTCCAAATAAATCATTTCTTACAATGACCAAGAGTTTCTTCTCTTGTTAGAGCAACAATCCTTCCTTTTGAAGAAGTTGAAGAACCCCTTAAAAGCACAAAAAAAAAAACCTATTTTCCAAAAGAAAATGTTGTGACCTATTATAAAGATATCACTTTGTCTAGCTAAGAGAAAATGTTGTGAGCTATTATAAAGATGGGGCTATACATAGAGAAAGATATATTATTATTTTTCCTATTGCTCCCTTTGCCTCTTTATATTATGAGCCCAAATGAAAATTATTCCTAGCTATAACCAAAACTTTCTTCTCTTGTTAGAGCAACACTTTTTTTTCCTTTTACAGAAGTCAAACAACTTCCATACAAGCACCAAAAAAACTTCATCATTTCTTTCTATCCATCTCCTCTCTTTCTATTTTCTCTCCCATCTTTGTTGCTTCTTATTGTTGATGCATTGACACGAAGGCTACCATTTCCTTATATAGTACTTAGATGTGGTATATAATAAATTTGAATATGTTAGGTAGATGGTGGTAAGTAGCTTCATGTTGATGTTAAGTTAAGTGCAATAGAGGGTGGTAGGTATAAATTTATTTGAGTAGGAGAAAAAAAAATTATTCATATCTTAACATATAAGCTATGTTTACTCTACTTGAGGAGGTAATTAGCTTAACTAGTTAACTTTATTTTTTCGTATGTAGATTACAGTCTTCCAATGATTACAATTTAAACCATATCAACTCTACTTTTCATATATAGAGATTCACCCTCATATATAAAGGATTAGTATATGAAATTGAACTAAAGTTCTAGTGTTGGAGAAGACAACGGTTCAGACTTTTGGAGAAGACAAACGTTCAGACTTACAACCCTATCCTATAAAAAGGGTGGCTCATTGTGATTGCCCTCATAATTATTTTATTTTATTTTATAATTCTATGCCGTTTACAAATTGGTTAAACATCCAAATCTAAGCCTTAAAAATTTTTCGATTAGGTCATGGAATAATCTATATTTTTTGTATTTATTTTTATTTTTTTATTTACAAATAATTAAAATGGTTTGAGCCCAAGTTCAATGTTCATTGTGCAAGTAGAAACAAAATTTTCTTATTGCTTAAAAGGGTTTATAATAAAGCCGGTGCAAAGGTTTGCAAAATGAGATAGGTGCAGTACCATAATTTGAAATTGCATAATTCGTTTTTTTATTAAAATCAAAATTATAATGTGGAAAAGTGCAAAATGTAGTGCTTCATCTAAAAAAATTGAACTTATGATATTCAAAGAATAAAAATGGCGCTAGAATATTATAATACAGATTATATTACGATTGGCTTAAAAATCATTGGAATTGCTTTGAGATTTGTACAATACAAAATTTTATATGCAAAATAAATCTAATGATCTTTCATATTCATGCTAATTGATTTATATTAGGATGCCAATGTTGTTGAAGTTAGAACTAACGTAGTTAGAGCAAAAATAGCATGAATAGAAGTGGTGAAAAATTTGCTAATAATAAATATAACGCCTTAAATAACACTCAATAATGAAAATTTTTGGGATAATTATTATTTATAAAGCATACCTTTAAGTGGTATGGATATAGCAAATGATGATAAAATAAAGGGGGGTTTACATATGGAGCGCTCAAAATTTTCTCATGTATATATTTAACATCTAAAGTTTATTGTTCATATTGTATACCACTCTGTCAACTTCTATTAATGACCTTCATGCAACCCCCTCAACAACGAAAAGAAAATTGTGATGGGTTGCAACGGGTTCTCGTCAGACAATGAAAAAGAGATAAGGAAGTCATAGCAGGATCTCAACGACACAAGTTGCAACGAGATATGGTTGGGAAGGTGCTTCACATGACCGATGGCATGCGCACCGGCGAAGGGCGACAGGATCTTGCTAGTGTAGAGTGACAAGACCAATAACATGCGAAAGATGACGAGTTCCATAATGGAATCCTAATGATGAGGTTTAAGAAGTATTATTTTTTATGTTATTTAAAGTTTTGTTTATTATGTGAGTAAAAAATAGTTGAAAACAAATTTCATTAAAATTTCTTCTGAATTTCCTCTCATTCAATTCTTCAAATCAAACAGTTAGAAGTTCATGAAAACAGAATGTGTTGTCCAAAAATTCCCTTTAAAATTTATTAAAATAATAAAAGTAATATGAATGGAGAAGAACAAACTAGGAAATGCAACCTTATCTAAATTCAAAATTTAAATTAAAATAAACATAAAAGCTAGACCAAAAATATAAAAAATAAAAAAAAATATTGATGGGTACTTCAGTCAATTAAAAGTAACCTTTCAAGGATAAAGCAATTCCCCTCCCACAACCCCTACCTCTATATTTTGCCTCCATACTTTCCTCCCACATCCCTACACTCATTCCCATCTTTTTCTCCATTATACCACTTAAACAACAGCTATGAAACCCCTCTTCATCTTCCTCTCCTTCCTCATTCTCTACCTCTTCTTCTCCTTTACTCTCTTAGAAGCCTCACAACACCAAGGTCTCTCTTTTCTCCCAATCAAATCTTCTTTTTGTAGTCTTTCTCTTTACCTTAGCTTGAATTTTACAGTATTTTCATTCTAATTTGCAGCTCTTGCTGTGGATGCGCTTCAACTTCAACCAGAGGTTAATTGACTTCAGTAGATATTTTTTTCTTTCTTTCTTTCTTTTATGTTTACTAGTGTATGATTTCATAGGATACAAGAAGAGAAAGGAGTAGTTGGGAACTGAAGGAGAAGAGCAGTGGTGGTGCAAGAAGGCTTCTGATAGGTTCCATAGCTCCACACTGTACTTACAATGAGTGCAGAGGCTGCAGGTTCAAATGCCAGGCAGAGCAGGTGCCCGTCGACGCGAATGATCCCATGAACACTTCTTACAGGTACCTCTGTGTCTGCCATAGGTGAGCTTAACAAGGTTCATGAAAGAAAGTAGAGTGGAAGAGAGATAAAGGAAAGTTAAGAGAGAGAGTAGTGAGTTTTTGAGAGAGAGAAAGAGGGAGATGTTCGTAATTTAATGAGAGTGATTAAGTTGTAGTTTTGCACTGATGTTTTGTTAGATTGTTTAGTTGTTTGAGAAGGTTTTGCAATCATATAAACATATATGGTTTTTCAAAATTATATATGTTCTTGTTTCCTTTTTGGTGCTTTGCTCGTCACTGATAGATTGATAAAAGCTTTATATAAATCTTATCATTAAGGTTTCGTTTGAGACGATTTTCTTCCTGCTTCTTAAAGCGATTTTCTAGTACAAAAATTTTAGCCGCTTTAAGAAGCATGAAGAAAGCTGTCCCAAACGAAGCTTTGTAGAATTTTCCTTTATCTGTTTTTCAGCTCTTTCCCACCTCTCTTTCTCCATCTCTATTTATCTCTTATATTTATCTTTAATTTTAATACAATGGATATTACAAAAATAGATAAATTTTTTGCTAATTTTGAGAAAATTTTATACTGAAAAACTATCTTTATAATCAGATATACTAACGTACGATAATTTTCAAAATTTTATTGTTCAACTTCTCAAGACTAAAATATTTATAATATTCATCAAAGTTTTCAAAAAAATTATTTTATCCTTCTATTTTTTTAGGATATTTAAGTCAATTAAGACAGACTCACACACACAACGCATACACAAGGCTCGAATTCAAGACCTCTTGGTTGGGAGGCCTAAGCTCCCAACCAAGCTCCCAACCAGCAGACCAAAATGAGCTGCGTATTTTCTCATTGTGTGGGAAATTAGCTAAAAAGTTTAAGAAATTTATGACTCTCTTTCACTATTCTCTCAACATACATACACATTGCTCCAAAAGGATTTACTACTATGAAATAGTGCCGTTAGTCAAAGGGGTTATAAAGATAAAACTGAAAACTTGTCTGGTCCTTATTGTATGCAGTGGCAATCTTCTTTAGTTTACAGAGCTGCTGTTCTATCCTGCAGATTCGATTCCTTGTGCCATTGGCAGTAATTTTTATTTTTTTTTTTATATTTTGAGGGCAGAAATATGAATTCCATATAAATACGAATGGATTCAATTTTTTTTTCAATAGTAATGCATAACATTCAAAATTTTAACATTTACATGTTTAACATCTAAACTTTAATACGAAATCATAACAGAGACGGATATGTCGCAACCTGGATCGTATCAAACGATAAAGACATGAGGAAGTCGCAGAAGAATTTCGATGGAATCAACGATGAGTGAAAGAGGAAAAAGAGAAATCAAATGCAACAATGAGATCTCGCTCATTATGGGTGTCGAGACAGGCAGCGAGTAAATATAAAGAAATGAAGAGTTGAGGTCGGAGATCTACATTAATAACAATGCAACAAGTGCTGCAACATATTTATATTCTGCATTTCAAAGTTCATCACATGGGACCGTCGGCACATCAAGGAAGACTCATATTGGCGAAAGGGTAGGGGGTCAGTGGCGATCGGTAGCATGTAAAGTGCAACGGCAAAAGGCGATGAGACCGACGATATGCTTATGGGACTATATCAAGAAGTTTTTTTTTTTTTTTTTTTTTTTGAATGGATAGAAATAGGGGTGTCAAAGCGGGTCGACAGATCGGGTTCAGGTCAAATCCGAGTTGACCCGGGTCTAAACAGGTCAGGTATTTCTACCCGAACTCGACACGCACGAGTTACCGGCGCGACCCGACATGACCCGCAGGCCGGTTTGATTCAAAAAACGGGAGTGCAATGCGATGTCGGTGTCGTTGCAAAGTCTGCCTGCGAGTGCGTGTCGTGCGTCCGTGAGGCACGGCAGCGATGGCCGATGGAGTCCACCAGACTAGACGACGAACAGAGTGACGGTATCGTGACTAGACGGCAAATGTAGCGACGGTCTCGTCCGAGACTGACAGTTGACACAGTGATGGGTGCGCTTGACGCTGCAGATCGCAGACAGCGACGTGACAGGCCGACAAATGCGGGACGACAAGAAATCGAATTTCAAAAGTCAAATCGAGTTGATTTCGGGTTTCCAAATCAACTAAAATCCGACCCGTATAGTAAATGGATTGACCCGAACCCGAAATTTTTCGGATCGGATCCGAATCAAGTTTAGGTCTTATCAGATTTTGACATCACCAAGTAGAAACCATCTTATATTGTACTTGAAACATTAAGATCGATCATAGTTCTTTACAATCAATACACACTGAAATCTGCAGCAACTCCAACTAAACATAGCCATCAATTCACAATGAAACCTACAGCAGCTCCAAAATTTACACCAATTGTCTGCAATATTTAATGCATTCCTGCCTTTCATTTACTTGACAAAGCGATTGCAGAAGTTTCATCGAAGGAGCAATCAATGGCATGTATCAATGGAGCAAAGCTCTGTCTATTTCTGACTGTATCAGTTTTCTCGATTAATGAAAATCACTTTATGATAAGTCTGATGTAATTATTAGTAAATTTGATAAATTATTTTTTTTTTCTATTTAGTAAAAAAAAGTAAAGAAAAAATTTTGAAGTCATTATTTTCACATAATATACTCACAGAAAATAATAATTCAATTTATCATTGATTGAATAAAATAAAAGTAATTTTGCATTTAATTTTTTATAGGTGAAATAAATGGGTGATAATTCATTTCTATTTAATTATTTTATCATTTTATTTTTTTTAATTTTAATTATTTCATTATTTTAATTTCAATTTAATTAATTTATGAGACCCCAAAAGGGCTTGAGCATAATTAGTAACTATAAATATGAAACCCTAAGCATTTTCTACTCGATCGATCTAGTCAATAGGAATGGAAGATAGATCGACGACGATGAACCTAGGTATTATGGTGGTGGGCGCAATAAACAAAATATTTGATAAGAAAACTTAATATGCCTCTTCAAAGTTTTCAAAACCATGAGTTCTTCATGGATGATTGATTAAGATTCTTAACGAATTATTATCATCAAGTCTAAAAAACAAATTTATAGTCAATTAAAAATGTTAGTGATTAGGTGTGTCAATTTGGGTCGACGGGTAGGGTTCGGGTCGAACCCGACTTGACCCGGATATAAACGAGTCAACCCGAACTCAACCCTTATGTTTAGCTAAGTGGGTCAGAAAATTAAACCCGGACCCGACCCGCACAGATTCTCGGGTTGACCCGACCTGACCCGCGGACCCGTTTGATTAAAAAACGTGGCGAGACGACGACTGTGAGGTGGTGCCGGAGATGCTGGCTGCACGGAGGTAGGCGATCGTCGGTCGGTGCGGCAGCTGCCAGCGCGAGCGCCTATGCAGTGAGTCCGTCTCCGTCCGTGACGAGATGTTGAATGGATTGCACGCCGGACGGCAGACGCAGCCCGCACTCCGTAGGAACTGCCTGCGAGAGTCACGCGACTGCGCCTGGGTTGACCGGCTCACTGGCTAAGCCGCTGAGGGCCTGAGGCAGTGCGGCGAGGAGTCGAGGACCGCGATCCGCGAGGTGTTGACGCGTCCAAAGTGTCAGACGACGTGACCAGGCGACTAGACCAGGCGACGTGACCGACTAAGCCATGCGACGACGCGACGTGACCGACTAGCCCAATCTGAAGCGGGAAAAGCTAAAAATGAGCGGGTTAACGGGTCAATTCCGGGTCAATTTCGAGTTACCGGGTTGACCCGGACCCGACCCGTTTTTTAAACGGGTCAAAAGTTGAGACCCGGACCCGACCCGTTTGTTAAACGGGTCGACCCAAACCCAGATTTTTCGGATCAGGTTCGGGTCGAGTTATCGGGTCGGGTCAATAATTGACACCCCTATTAGTGATAGCACAATCTTCATATCCATGTGAGCAATTTAGTGCCATAACATAGAACCAAACTTTGTAGAAGCAAAATAAAATTTAAAGAGATGTAAGGATCAAATTTAGGGTTTCCATAAAACAATGATGATATGTTCTCATTTTTGTGTCAATATTCATTTTCTCAAGAGCAAACAATATCACAAATATTTTGTATATCAAAGGTCTATAGAAGTCATAGGAACCCAAATCAAGCACTTAAATCACAATTGGAAGTTTCAGGACATTAACTGAGGGATCAAATAGTCTTCAAATATTGTATGTTTATAATCAAATTTAGCATCTAGATAAGATAACTTCAATGAACTCAAGATCCTTTGATTATGACATAATTAAAGCACTCCAATATGATCCATTTGATAGATATTTTAGACTTGGCCAAAATTATCAAAGTATTCCTCTCAAAAAAGCTATAAAAGAACTCATTTTCTAAGTGAAAGAGGTTTGGGAACTAAGAAAGCTAAAAAATTCTATTATATTCGATTGTCATCATCACCAACGACCACCATCAACAATCATCATCACCATAGCCTGACTACTATTATCCGATTATTATCGCCACACTAATAACATTCAACCCCATTATTAAATTTTTATCTCCACCGGTAGAAATCGAACCTATGTACTAATACCTATAATGGGAGACATATATAATTATTCTCAATCATATAATCACTAAGTTTTTATTTGTGGAAAAGAGCGAATTCTTGTATTTACAATTATATAGTAGTGATATATCATCAAAAAATTATCTTGATCGGGCACGAATCTAGAGGCAAAAATCAAGCCGGAAACTTTAAAAATTAAATCTAGTATCTCCTGAACTCCGATTTAAGTAAACTTATAGTCAAACTAAGTGTCTCGGAAATACAAACCCAACGAAAGCAAATTCGACTCAATCCGAGCCCAAATGAGTCCAAATCAAGGACCCGAAGCATTGTTGGAAAGTTTTTCACGTAAAAAACTCCGTTATAACTTAAAACATCAATTTTTACATGTTAGATTTTTATATAAAGCTAAAATATTACGCGCTCTCTCTACTTTGAAATTTTCTAACACATATAGAGACAGAAGAGAGAGAGAGAGAGAGAGTTAAAAATAAATTTAACTTTGTTCATTGTTAATTTGACTTTATCACATGTTTCACAATGTGATGAAGAAGATGTACTATAGTGTTGGAGAGCCTTACTAAGACCAAATAAGACAAAAATATAAACTCTAATCTTTTACTAGAAAAAATTATAATTGATTATTTTCAAAATATCACCAATATAAATACCTATTTTACATTGTGGACCACAAGCTCTCCCGAATCTATCTACAGCAAGC